AGAAATTAGATCACTTCAGTGGGTTTGCATCTTTTTAATCTACAGTAGTCAAAGTAATATGTCCTAGAAGTCTTAAAGCAAAAGTATTTCTGTTTCTCCTATTCTGTTGCTTTTGGTAAGGAATTTCCCGAAGTCTAGCAATCGCCCAACCAAAAACTCGACTGAATCCATACTTCAGAACTCAACAGCAAGGACGGAATTATAGCAATTTATTGGCACTATATTATGGCGTATTTAAGGCTATATGGGAACTTACAGATGTCTATATGGTCGGACTGCAATCGGACTACTCCAATACTGCCCTCGGAGGGATAGGCTCAGGGCCATCGGACTCATCCGAATGGTTCAGTGGAACAATAATCCTTTCGTCAGTTTGCGTGATATCACTGCCTGAATGGTCTGTGGGCGGATCGATCGTACGACATAGGAAAGAGGTGTCAGAAAACCGTACGAGCGAGCCAGTCATGACAGTTTTCTCAAACACAGGAGACTGCTAAAAATTTATAAATTCAATCGAGGAAAAATTTACTGGTTTTTCTTACGCATAATAATTGCGAAGTACACTAATGTGGCCTGATCTGACAAGAATATATGTTATTTTGCCTACCATCCATTTAAACTCTTGCATTGACCCGCCAAGGCAAAAATCTCTTAAATTAAACAAAAAAAGTTCCTGTTATGCGAAATCGGCACACGCTGCATCCGCAAAATTTTAGAGCTGCAAACGTACAACCGTTCCTTAAAAGAGGACATACTGCAGTTTAGAAAGGACGATGAAATCTTTTAGAAATGCGGAAAAATTAGAAAATTTAAAAAAAAATCGGGGTAACTAAGTAAACATAAGTTTTAAATATGGGTAAACCTTGTGCATTAAAAAACCAAGTGAACAGAGCAACATAAGTAGAGTTTCTATTAGTCTTTTGCAAAAACATTTCTGGCTATTGCCAAACAGCCCAAAGTTCGACCATATAATTCAGTATAATTCAGTATATTTAGGGTAGTAGGCAATGCCTTTAAAGACCCTATTGAAAACAGTATGCATGAAATATCCAGCATAAAATATGTTACTATAAAAGAGTGAAAAACATACATGTACAAATTTTAGCTAGGGGTATGTTCAGCGTCTCCGTGAGAGCATTCAGATGGCATCTTGTGTGCATAAAATATGTTACTATAAAATATGGAGAAGCTTATACAAATGTAAAATTTTGTCTCTACGTTTTTTCAAAGGCGTAGATTACTCCTACTTCCT